TCTCCAATTGTTCAATTTTAGAACAGTGAAAGAGGTTGTCAAACATGCTGCTGAAGCTGCTCTCAAAGCAGCTGGTGATGTACAGACTTTACGAGAAATGGTGACAATGCTTATATTTATTTGGGAATTGTTTAGCAATGTTGGATAGCGGTATCTATGGAAAACCAATTCTTAGCATCCCTATGTAGAGTTTCATTGTTTTTGATATTTTTTTTTACATAAAGTTGTTGTATGTATGTATGAGTATTATGGTTTGTCATATACAGTCAAATTTATTTCAAAATTTTGATTTTTAATAACAAAATTGCACTGGATATAATTTAATAGCAATATTTTTAATTTTTTCAAAGAACGATGCTGAACTACTCAAATATCCAAGGCCGTGTAACTTTGATTAGCTGGACCAAAATTTTCGATTGATGTTTTATGTAACAAAACAATGTGCACTAATCAATCAGTTTGGACATTTTGACCATTCTTTGCTTGGGGTTTTATCCCAACACATCAAAGATTTCTATTTCTCTACAATCTCTGTACTTTTTGCATCAGGTAATCGTGTCGCAAACATATTGGTAAAATGAGATACTCTCCAGAATTATGTGATATGATATTAGTGATGTTATATTAGTTCATCAAGCTATTATTCATTTATCCATTAAGCCAAGCAAATCACATATGATTTTGACATGATAAAAGGGAATCACTTATAATTTCATGTTAATTTCAGATGAATTTAACGACTTTGAAAATGCGCAATTCGTAGAAGATTTGGGATAATCTTCAAACGTTGAATGATGCGCTGCCTTCCGATTGAAATGTATTTTATTTTTATTCATTCTGTATGTAGCTTACAATGTTTACTTTTGGCATGTGAAAAAATAAAATACTGACTGACTGAAAATATTTTTGATAGCCATCTCATATGCAAACTCACACAGATATAGGCACGGCAGTGGAGTTGGAGGCCTTTGCGTTTCTTCCTAAATTCGCCGGTAGTAATTGCTCATTCAACCTTTTTTTATGAGTAATGAAACATGGCATCGAAACCAAAAAGACTCGTTTACTCAAATCCTATACAGTAGGTGAGTCAGTACAGTGAGTCTTTTTATTATTCAACATGCCTCTTACTGATTCATATCCAATTTAAAGTAGATAATCTATATATCATTATAATACCTCATTGATGAAACCAGAAATTTGCAATATTCCTTATTGTTAAATTTTAGCAGGATTTTTAAAAATTAATGTTAACTCTTTGTTAGGATGAGAAAACAGACTTGATAATTTATTCTATGCGTGATATAAATTAAGTGTCATATTTCCAGAAAAGTAGTTACAAAATAATGCACTTGCTGTTTACATTCGTCGTAAACCGCAATGTTACAAGCAACGACGGGAGTCATTTCAACTTTGAAAGAACAATGCTTTTATTATCTCATAAATATATCGAAGCAATTATTGACATCATAAATCAAATTACTCTGCTGTGGTATTACCGTTTAATACTGACACTCACATCGTAAAAAATTGGATAGTGTGTGTGTACCCAATTATGCCAAAGATTTGGATTATTATATGGCATTTGCCTATGCGGCATTTGTTTCAATAAATAATATTTTAGTTAGCTATTGTAGATTTAGTTATATGGGAATGTTATGACACATAGTTTTCCTCCGTATTTTAGCATCATTAAACTGGAAATCTACTTATGAAACAGAATGAATGATCACATATGTTTCCTCATCTGACGGAAGTTGTTGAAAGTTTTACAAGAATTCTACAGAGAGTTGGTGATAACGAATACGTGAATTAATGGTTTATTCAATGGTGAGTATTTCAAACTTTCTGTTGATTGTTTCTAATTAAAAGATTGCACATCAGTAAACATGGTATAATTAGAGCCACATCATGCGTTTGTAGATCCCCAAGCACTTGAGACTTGGTCCCCTATATATAAAAATGTAATATTTGTAAATAATGTTGGCTGCTAGTGTTACATGTTTTCTAAAATTGAAATAGTGAGTTTTAGTTGGGATGTTTCTTTGTTTCTGTATGAGTGACCAATCAGCAATGAGTTTACAATGATAAAGGATCGGGAAATCATCAAATGATTATTTAAAAACATGATAGTTCAAAATTGCATGGTGAGTTGCATGGGAGTCATACCTTGCCGAATGGTAATTCCGGCATTAGTTTTCCCTCTTATGGCCCGATGCAAACGTCAAACGAGATGTCGTGACAGACCATATGTTAAACCGCAGGTACGAGCAAGATGGAGGCTCGGGACAATATGTTTCGCCCTCTAGTTATACATACATCTCGATGTTATTTGCTCGTAGTGAATACGATTACTCCAAAATACCTCCCTATAAGGTAATAATGTTTGAAAAGTGTAAACTTCAATATCAGATTGCAATTGTGAAACATCCTCCAACTGGTATCGAAATACTCTCTGTGTAATTGTAGTGATCTCGATTACTAACATTTTACCTCATTGAATTGTGGGTTATTGAATTGTGTCTTTCATGCTGTTGTTGTTTTGAATCATTTCATTCAGTATTTACATACTTAATTTTCAAATATACAAGAGAGCAATGCCTAAATATATGAACACGAACGCCAAAACGGAGTATTTCCAAATATTCTATAGTATCGGTATAGCCTGGCCACTAGATCACTGTGATCACGGGACCAAGTCACGGTGCGCAATTTTTAATTTGAACGACGTAATCACACAAAACTTCAAAGTGAAAAACGAATCTCGTAAGACCCAAAAGCCATTTTTTGAAATGAATAAAGGTAATACCTATCTATCGACAACAACAACTTCAACCACTGAAAGATATTGTTTCTGTAGTTGAGAAAAAAAGAAATTTTTTTCACAACAACAAGATAATAACAAATATGTATCATAACATTTGATAAATGTCCATCTGGACTTTACAAATGTTGTTACCCTGCAATCGTTTGTTCTCTTCTGTTTATTTTTTGCGAATTTCTCTACCCGCAGTCCGCACGACTTTAAGTTGGCATGAAAATGCGTTTAGGAGACGAGGAACTGTTGACATCTTGTTGGAAGCACTTTCCAAAATAAAAGTGATATCAAAACTACAGTGACGTTGAAATGAAAAAATTAGAATCTTGATGAAGGAGTTGAAAGGAAAAGATCTGAAAGAACCAATTGGCTCTGGAAATGAGAAGTGTGTCATCTGATGGTGGTATTGCTGTGACACTGGCGCCGGGGAAGGCGGCGGCGATAAAATGAAAACAACTATGCCTACGATAATTTGTTTATCTGTTTATGGGGTTAGTTAGTGGAAACTAATTAGGTTTTATATACAGAATTATTATGATACAATGTTTTCATCGTATTATAGCATCATTATTAGAACTTATTCCATGTGACATCCCATATGTTTGCCTCATTTAAACGAGCTGTCAAAATTTATACAAAATACAACATGATTTCCATTGGTTGTTTCTAATAAATTATCAACATATTAGTATGGTTTATGACTTGTATGTATTGCGTGCAAATATGCCTCCTGTCTAAATAATGTGGTATACATAGGGATGAAACAAGGATTCTAGATGTTTATGATGACGTCCGTTTCCACGATTGTCCAGAATCCCTATAAAAGTGATGAGAAATTTATTCGTGCACCACTCTATCAGAAATTGACGAATGATCCTCCAAAGCAGGGGTTACCAAACTACGGCCCGCGGCGTCATTTTACCCGGCCCGCAATAACACGCAAAATTGACGATTTTTTTCAAGGGAAATTTTCCCCGAGCATCGTCTTCCTTGTTTATTTTGTAACATTGGCCAATCAGCAAGATGCAAAAAGGTGACATAGGCCCCTCGTCCGCTTAGATACTTTTGTTTTGTCACCCTGGCAAATTTTCAGTCGTGGTTGTAAACAATACTTCGTTTTTGCGATTTTGAATGCTATTCGTTAGTTTTTGGTTGTGTTTGGGAAATTTAAATCAAATACGTCCATCATCATTTGGCTGCTTAGGAGTTGTAGTTTTAATAGTAGTAATGAAAAATTAGTCTAGAAATAGCTGTGACAAAATAGGCTAAAATTCTCTACTGGTACGCAACGTTTTCTGCGAAAGATGCACTCGTGGCGCGTGCTTTCGACGAAACTGTTTACGATTCTTGTGCCAAAATGAACGTCGAATGTGCATGTTGCGCTAACAGAACTGTAAGCCCTCGCGTACTGCTCCAATTTCACAAGTCACACTAACTTTTGTACTGCTTTATAGCGGATATTCATGTCGTTATGTTACAAAATAATTGACGCTTATCCGATTTAAATGAAAACTGCGCCAGTGGATCTGAGTGAAAATAAGAAAACAATACCGAGTTTATAAAAAACGATCAAGAAATAACGGAATTTTACTACCACCAGACAGGCAAATTCTTTCCAAAGAAATGTATTACTTTTTCATGAGAACTGTAATAAATATGAAAAAAGAACACATATCACTCTCCATTCTTTCGATCTGCGTCACATCTATGGAATATTGAGACTACTTCAGGATTTTATCGTCGCAAATAAACGCTGGAGTTGTGCACGTTAGTTTGACAGTGGTTCATTGTCAGTAATAGTCAACGATGTTTTGATTGTACAAATTTCATAAAAATTGGTAAGTATTAGGTTAGACAAGAAATGCACACGTCCACATAACTTTTATTAGTGACTATAGACAATATCATTAATCTGTACTACGTATAAATAGAGCGTAATTTTTAAAAGCTCCGAATGTTGGGAAATTTATGTGGTAATAAAAAAATTCAAATACCAGATAATATTTGTTTATTTTATCTAAATTATATCAAAATTTCATGGAATTCCATGCTACAGCAGGCAGTCCGTAGTCGTTTTTATGAGCGGTATTCCGACACGGCGTAACGGTACTTAGCAGACGTGATGCGTACATTTTTTTGAGCGAAAAAGCGGGTTTTGTAACATTCCTAATTCATGACTGCAACAGCTAAACTGAGGTTAATTGTCTAGATAAAGAAATCGTGTATATTTGTTTTCCTAGAATGTTCTCGATCTAACTTTAGTGAATTTATTATATTGCATTGACAAAAATATTTGTCCGGCCCGTTTCAACACAGTTTGAGTCATATCCGGCCCGCGGTCAAAAATGTTTGGTGACCCCTGCTCCAGAGTCTAGAGACAAGATAAATCAGGTGAGATTTGTAACTTTGTATTCTTTTACACATTTTGTGACTGGAATGAGTGATAAAATCGTTTATACCGAATACGAACAACTCTTTGTTCTTTTATAAATCTTTGACATAAATTGGAAATTTATTTGTTGACATTTAGCTATGCTCATTATCATCTATATTTTTTGAAAATCATTGTTCAGATTTTATTACTTTTTATAAATTCCATTCGCCACTACAGAAAAGAGAATGATGAAGTCCGCAATCATTTTATTATTGGTAGCAATGTTTGTCGTCAATAGCGACGGTTTGGTCAGGATCAGGAGAGCTTTTAAAGATGCAATAAAGCCCATAAAGATCCTGTGAGTTGCGATTTATTTGCGTTAATGAGATTCATTTAATTAGTGATTAGTTTATATTTAGCTGAATACTTCATGTTAAGACTATTTAATGGCAACACGTTACCTTTTATATATAAATATCTATCATTCGATGTTTCATTTACACTATATCTAGAAATCACTTTATGAAGAAACTACATCAATCACAATTCAGTCAAAATAATCTGTGGAAAATATTATGGCAATTTGATTTAGTACATTTCACTTTATTATAATAAATTGTATAAACTTGAATGTGAGGGTGACTCCAAAATATCGTGTCCCACTTGTATCACTTATACCACTTGTACCACGTGTCCCACTTGTACCACATGTCCCACGTGTCGCACTTGTACCACGTGTCCCACTTGTACCACGTGTACCACTTGTCCACGTGTCCCATTTACGGGTAAGGATTATCATATTTTTCAATTTCTAATTTTTAATAAAGCGCGCCAACACCGTTTTTGTAAATCTAGAATTGTCGAACCAGATAAGTACGACTGGAAATTTTGTATTCTATGGAAATTTTCCAAGATATTGGTGACGGGGAGAACTATTATTTTGACCCCATAGAAATGCCTTCATTGTCGATTTATTCGAGTATTTAGTATCAGTGTTTTATTCCAAAGCTGAGTTACGGGAATTCTCAACACTGAGTATTAGAGAGATTACCAATTTGCGGAGTTACTAATTATTATTATTTAATACGAAAGTAACACAGACACGACATAAAATTTTAAAGCATAAAAAAGTCAACGATCAGCTTCACAAATATCGCATTCCGGGGTCAGTAATACTGTTCGCTTAAAATTGGGACCTTAATTTAAAAACTGTGAAACAAATCGTACAAAATAGATAAAAAGCAGCATAAAATTAATTTGTCTTGTGAATGCACTCCTTAATAGTTGTCTTTGACATCGCCGCCGATGTGAAATCAAATTTCCGTTTAAAAAATAAAAAGCAAACTGCGATATCCACCGTTGCATGAGAATAAATACTTACTAGTGAATAAAAAGTGCTTTAATATAGTTTATCATCATCAATTGGGATGTCAAGTCGCCGAAAGGATCGCAGTGACAAAAATATTTACTGCGGCCTTGGATTATGACAAAATCAGAAAATAAAAATCGCTGCATTGTTGCGAAGTTTTCAGTCTTCAAGTAAATTCCGAAAATAAAATTGTCACGGCGATCGTTTCGGCGCCGACATCCCAAATACGGTTGTTTGAAATGACAATACTCAATATTCGGTGTTGTGTCAGTTGAAAATATTCGAATATTTCGACTGAAAAAACTATTTGCCCACCACTAATCACGACGCATGTTAAATATCATTGAATGGCAAATTAAAAAGCAACTTGCTTAACATTAAAATCCAAGTCATAGTTTCACATTTAATGCATTTGATCGGCGCTACATGCGAGCGTGTTTTTGTACTTATAAACGATTTTGACGCTACTGACATCCGCGAGTTGTACTTCTCTCAAAATTAATTTTCACGATTTCCAATGTTCTATTTTCAAATGCGGGTACTGCTGACTACGGATTATTGGTCGATATTTAAAAAAGGACTTGCAAAATATTCACCATAAACCGCCAGGCACATAAGAGGCGGGCTATACGTAACTGTGGAATTTCGCTGTGAACGACGCATACTTTTCAGTTTATTAAACGTCTTACGTCGTCGTAAATTGCACTTTGGGTGCTCTGTTTTAATTTCACCGAAAATTTTGGCTGCGCCCATGTCGGTACCTATCCGATATCAACACGGCTATATTCCGGCACTGATAAACCAAGTCATAATTTGTCACTCATGTCATCAATAACCAAAACTTTCGTGCTTGCTATTACCAGAAAGCCTATGTTGAATGAAAGTGCGACCTGCGGTTTTACTCAGTTATCTTTATTTGGTCCTCCTGTATTAAATGTTGCACACCCTTGGTTTTAACTACTTAAATTGCTTTGCAACCTAGTTCTTCGCTTGATATTTATAATGTTTTTTCAATTTTCGTCATTTTTTTCTGTAAACTTGGAGCAATATAAGAACAATTCAGGTAGTTTGTAGACTAATATGAAATGTAAAAGTTAATAATGTCCCGAGCAGATGTTGACATTATCTATCGAACCAAGAAATTATTGCCCCGTGTAACATGAATACTACCATATTATTTTATGATATTTTTATCATTCTATTGCATTTTTCTCTCCGATTTTATATGTAACTGCAATACCTTATATTTTTTTGCCAAGTTGCTTGTTATTTTATTGCAAGCATCAATTGCTTTTACTATTTTATACCAATTTCTTTTTATTTCTATGTTAAGCTCCCTTATTTTTTTCATCTTCAAGTCATTCGTACTTAATGATACTAGCCCAATACTACTACTACTACCCAATACTACAATCACAATTTCTTAAATCATTGGGATTATATATTTTGGCGCATTTACTACAAAGAACATAAAGTCATGCTTTTGATGGAATTAGTCTGCTTTACAAATGCGTCTTTCTAACAAAAATAAACGAATTGCTTCAATTGAGCATTGACTGATTGAGCATATACTATAGCTAAAGATAGTATTATTTATTGTGTAATTTGTCTACAAATATCTCATTCATTGGGGGCACGTTTTCCAAACTGGAAAATATTCATCCCTGTCGAGTAACTTTGTCCTTTTGAGAAGGAATCGGCTTTGTATTTGCTGTAGCATTACCACTTTCCCAAAGTTCGCTCTGCCTACTATAATACAATGCACACATTCAATTAGAAAATACTGGAACTGTACCAAATCGGTTTTTCAACTAAGGCAATAGACAAAGATCTAAGGATTAAATTAATACATTAGTTTTTATGCATAGTAAGGGAAGAATAAAAAGGTTGAAAGATTTTATAAAGGAGAAGTTTAACGGATAAGGTTTGGAATCACATGACTTTTACACCTACATCTTATTCATCAAATGTTTTGTCCATATGTACAATATCATACATACTATTTAACAGATGTTTTGTCCACCAACAGCTCATTCGTGAAATTTTTTCTTTTTATACATGTCGTGTAGGGGTTTTGTCCATATACATCTCGTTTCCCTGATGAAACAACAGCTCATTCGCGAAATGTTTTCTCTCCATACATTTCGCCAAGGGGTTTTGTTCACATATATTTAATTCGCCTGATGTTTTGTCCACATGAATGTCGTTTATAATACATCTGATTAACCATATATTTTGTCCATATACATCTCGTTTCCCTGATGAAACAACAGCTCATTCGCGAAATGTTTTCTCTCCATACATTTTGCCAAGGGGTTTTGTCCACATATATTTCATTCGCCGAATATTTTGTCCACATGAATCCTGTTTATAATACATTTTATTCACCCGATATTTTGTCTATATATATTTCGTTTTCCTCATAAAACAGTCGCCGTGATTATTCGCTCGTTAAAAAAACGACTTTTTCAGTGAGACTCTTCTGTGGCGTATAATATTCAATCCGTGGTAATTAACTCAATTGTGTCTAACGTAACACGCGGTGGCGATTTTTAAATACATTGCTCCTCTAAAAAAAACAGATGTAATATGCAGGCATAAACGCATGAGATAAACTGTCTAATTATTACTTATCGATCTTAAGATCGGTAAGTATATTGATAGGTATTTGTCTGTATGTGTCTGTCTGTCTGTCTGTCTGTGTGTCTGTTAGATGCACGCGATATCTCAGGAAAGCGAGATTGAATCTGCTCCAGATTTTGCATGTGCATTCATCTTATCTCGGACCAGAAGCCTATTGATTTTGGGCGAATTATGTCGTATAATTAGCGAATTAGTATTAATTGATATAGTGATCTAGATGTTTGTAAAGCGAGAGAATTTTGAAACCCGCCGAGTGTGTGTGTGCGATGCGCAGTGCGCAAGTTACAAGAGCGGATGAATCGAAACTGCAGTTTCTGTTTTGGGGGATCCCCTAACTATCGATCGATAAGTCTTCGGTTTCCAACCGATATTCTCGTATTTAGTTTTGATAGGTATGTTTGCAATCTTGCTAATCCGTGATCGCCGTTAGGAATCTGTATTTTTGCCATTTTGCAAATTGGAGAAATCTGTAATTGTAACACAGATCCGCTCAATGCTGCCACTCAGATTATTTTTAAGATATAACCGTTATAATCTCACAACGTAAAATCTATTTTAGTACAATGAAACTCGATTGGATTAATTAATTTATATTCATAAATAATTTACCATCACAATCCGTTAAGTGTGACATGTGGGACAAGAGGTACAATTGGGACAAATGGCACATGTGGTACAAATGGTACACGTGGTGCAAGAGGCACACGTGGTACAAGTGGGACACATGGTGCAAGTGGGACACATGGTACACGTGGAACAAGTGGTACACGTGGAGCAAGTGGTACACGTGAGACAAGTGGTAAACGTGATACAAGTGGGACAAGTGGACAAGTGGGACACGACATCTTGGAGACACCGATAATATGATAACTTACAAACTTACAAAGTTCTAGAATCTAGACTTTTCTTTTATTTGTTTATTTTAGGAGGGGGAAAACGCCAAAATGCTTTTCAAGCAACCTGCTAAAGCCGCCGTTCATGGAGATATGCGAGCTTTAAGAGAATTGGTGAGAATGCTAATTTTAGTTCAACAACGTATTTTATTGAGCAATATGAGCGAGTGAAATGAACTGTAATTCACTATATAGCATTACATTCATATATAACGAGTTACGTGTTTCACATTAGCATATATATGCCGACAAGTGTAGAACAAATGGGAAACCGGAATGGTTGTCGACTGTGATATTCCTGGGAAACGAATTTTCAGCTTCCCAGAATAGAGTTTATTTTTTTTCCACGTTGTTGTTATATTTTACTGCACGTCATATTTAGTCAAACTTGTTGCTTTATGATTATGATGGCATTAAATATCTTGATAAAAAGTACCATTTTTTTTTCAAAGGACGAAGCTGAAATGAATCAAATGATTGAGGCCCTTAAAATGATCAGAGATATGGATGAGGGTAAGAGCAATAAATTAAATTGCCAGTATACTTAGGTATACACAGCAGTCTAGATTGAATTCGTTTATCTAAAACTTCGAATTGGTATCATTTGTGACAAAATAATGTGAAGCAATCAATCAGTTATAAATTTTCTGGCCATTTATCACTTGTGGATTTATATCAACTATAACCCAATGAAAGACATCGTGGAAGTCCATCTGTCTACAATTGCTGTTCTTCTCAAATTAGATATCGTGTCGCAAACGTCTCTGTAAAATAGGATTCTCTCTAAAATTATGTACTATGTAACGTCTGTTCGTCACTCAAGCCATGGACGGCCTCAACCATTGTGCGTGTGGAAAGAAACAAAGAGAACACAAGAAAATTTAGATTTTGGAATACAAAATTAATTCGCCTTCACGTTTTATAGTCATTTAACTATAAAAACAAAATCACGATTAAAGTAAGTTTACTTTACGGGACCTGCGTGAGGAATAAACACGCTTACCTATGCTTTATTATAATTTATAATGAGTAAATTGAATGATTTCCACATGCCATTAGCGCAGGCCCTATAGAAGAGCGGAGTCAACCTGGCCGCTTCTGTACAGTCGCTTAAGCGCGCCCTGACTGAAGCTTCACTAATCTGTATATCAAAAATTAACGCCCTCCAGAAGTATGTGTACCAATATGGAGCTAACTAATTTTGTTTGCCTATTTTACATCAAGTTGTGTAAAAGGGCGGAAGCCTATGGGCAGGTGATATATTCACTTGATTAACACAGACTCGTACTCGTACCCGAACTCGTACTAGAACTAAAATAAAGAAAATCGAAATAAAATTATGGCCTAACCCTAACTTGGTACACACGCTACATGTGTAGCAAATTGACATTATATAAGGTGATATTTTACTATATAATTTCTTGTTCATTTCAGATGAATTCAACCATTTTAGAAATGCTCAGTCCGAATAATCTTCATGATGTTGAATGTTTACAGTGATAGTAGTATAAGAAAAACAAACAAACATGCAACTTTTTTGATTCAAAATCTTCACTCAAATCTTTGTTTGATTATTTAAGAGAAAGATATTTTTCATTGGTCAGTGTAATACAGAGTGAATATTTGAACTAACTAAACTTAATTTCGTTAGTTAATTTAACAAAAATTATGAATATGTTCCTTGGTGTTTTTCTTTCTACTATCATGTCATACATGCTTTGGATCCGATTATTTTTTTTCGGAATAGTAAAAGCTGGAACACAGTATTGCATTTTATTAAGTCAGAATGAAAGTTTTAGCTTAACATTGCAAGCAGTCGGCCATGATCTGAAAATATAATTCGGCTGGAATGTCAGCCTCAACGAAATCTAGAAACGATCAGAACGACTATTTTAAAAACACTGTTACTGTCACTATGATGTTTCAAACTGATAAAGGGTTATCTTCTGTTTAATTACTGAATCAATAGCTGTTGAATGTTTAGTTGCGATATGGAAGTCCTCCGAGAGCATATTAGTTTATTATATTGACCGAAACTTGCGTATTTCAGCGTCACCTGTACCTTATTACACTCGCCTCATCCAGTATTATGCACCAGGAAGTGTTTTGGTGGAATTCGTAAACAAATGTTAACATTTTTGTTAGGATAGGAAAACATGCTTGATAAATTATCCTGAGCCTGACACACAATAGGTTTCAATTGAAAAATGTCAAAATAACGTAGAAAATGTCTTTGGTAAATGTCCATCTGGAATGCACAAACCCCAAACATACTATATTGAAATCCTACAATTGCATTTTCCGTTTGCGTCACAATTTATATATCGCGATAATTCAACATCACATGTATATTATATATATATTTGCAAACATTTATGTAATTAAATTGGTGTTATCCCTAAATCGTTTGTTCGCTTTTTTTTCTGCGAATTTCTCTACTCGCACTCAAGCAGGCTTAAAAAGTGTGTCATCTGGTGGTGGTGCCGCTGTAGCACCTGGCGATGGGGGAGGCGGCAGCGATGGCCTCATAAAAAAAAAAATCAATAAAAAAGTTTCTGAAAAGAATCCGATGATGAGATGGGATTATTCTCTCTTTAAATAACTACTACTGTTTCGTCATGATCTGTTTGCGATATTCATTTTTTCTGTTTTCTCACAACAAAACTGCATCACAATATTGTCTCTCATCAACGCCTATGTTAATAAAACTAAATTGGCCAACGAAACTCAGTCATTTCATCTGTTCTCACAATTTGTGGATCTCCGCTATAGGAGACCTTATTATCCATCGTTCTGGCTGTCTGTCTAAGCGTCATAGTTTCTAGCGCCAAACGGATGGACCGATCTAGATAGATGAAAGTTCATACATGAGTTATCCTGTCACCCTAGTAAGTTATGAAAGATAACAGGATACCAATTCTAGGCTTTATTAAACAAAAGAACACCACTACCACAACTTAACACTGTAAACAATAGAATAACACGCAAACAGTAAAGTATGCAGTACGACGGAGCTAGGGCAATCAAGAGTACATAGTTTATCTAATAATTACACTGTGAAGAAATGCTAACACTAAAATTTCCCCTGCCTAAAAGATAACGATCAATTGGACGCTTTTCTCCAGTAGAACGCCTAGGAGCCGGGGTGTCTATCTTCTTCATTGGGGGATGTTTCGCGTTTTTCATCATCACCGGGAATATTTGACTTTCTTCCCCTTCTTGAATTTCTGATTGGTTGATCACAGGATGCGATATTTTTGGTGCATAGTCCGAATCTTCTGTATCAGCCTGCTTTGCAGGTAATTGAGAAGGTTGATTATCAGGGGAACTTCCATTATTCTCACTTCTAAGCGGTGTACCATCACCACACGGTGCAAGATGTTTCGTTGATACTGTTGAGGTTTTACAATATGAATACCGAATATGAGCGTAATGTCTGTTCGCATCCAGAAGTTCCACTTCATCGACGTATGGATCAGATTTGTTTCTTCTAATCTGTCTCTTGAGAAGAACAATTTTAGAATTTGTCAGCCACGTTGGAACGGCATATCCTGTGGTAGATTCAGATTCAGATTCAGATATTTATTTTTCGTCGTGCAAAAACATTGTACATTTAAACAAATGGTAAAAATTAAATAAATACATTGAAAGAAAGAGGTACAATATTTGGACTGCAATAGACGAGGGATCGCGAAAAGACTATCAAAAGTCATCATGTCAGCGACACCATAAGATCTTCTTGCAAAATTGAACAACCGTTCATGCGGTGTTGCATTTGTTGCAGTGCACAATAGTGATCTGATGGAATGCAAAACATCTAATAGAACATCTTGCCAACATTCAATTGGCGAACCTTTTGACATTAAAGCAAGTTTTATTCCTTTTTAAATTGTCCCATTGCACCTTTCTACTTGACCATTCGCCGAAGGATTGTAAGGAGTTGTTCTACTGTGAGACACACCCTTTTCTTGCAAAAATCTTTTAAACTCACAACTCATGAAAGCCGAACCACGATCAGTATGTATGTAAGCAGGCATTCTAAATACAGCGAACAATGGAGTTTGACTTTTTATTACACTGGCGGCCGAAACATCAGGTGTTGGTATAGCGAAGGGAAATCGTGAAAACTCGTCAATTACGCAGAGAAAATATTTGTTGCGATTGTTCGACGGAAGAGGTCCCTTGAAGTCAATACTTAAACGTTCAAAGGGCTGAGTCGCTTTTACAAGAGTTCCTTTCTTCAGGCCGATAGTATTTAGGTTTTATCTCTCTGCATACAAGGCAATTCAAGACAGTTCGCTTAAAGTCTTCAGTCGAATAAGGTAAATTACGGACCTTAACAAAATGAGCGAATCTAGATATACCTGGATGGCATAATGCATCATGTAATTTAGTGTGGATATTATTAGAAGGAAGAGCACATGAAATCCTCGATAGAGTGTCTGGTGCAACATTGTCTTTGCCTGGTTTGTATGCGATATCGAAAGAGTAACAGGATAGCTCAATTCTCCATCTTGTTATTTTTTCATTTTTGATTTTACCTTTGTGGCGCAAATCAAACATGTAAGAGACACTCAAGTTCAGAGCCGTGTAATGTACGTGAAAAAAATGCAACAGGACGACCAGATTGATTTAGTGTCGCTGCTATAGCAATATCTGAAGCATCAGTTTCCAATTCAAATGGAATATTTTCATCAACGGCAATGAGAACAGCATTTTCTATAACTGTTTTAGTTCATAGAAAGCTCCAATATCAGTGTCAGTAAGAGGAAAAGAGGTCGATTTTGTTAATGATCTGATTCTATTTGAAAAGTTTGGAACCCATCTAGAATAGTATGAAAAGAATCCCATGCATCTGTTCAATTCTTTGGAATTTGATGGTATTGGGTGTTGGCGTAAAGGTTTCAATCTTTCGGGATCTGGACGAATTTCACCTTCAGCAATTTGATATCCTAAAATCGGCAATGTTCGAGTAGTCCATATACTTTTTGATTCATTAAAAATCAATCCTCGTTGTTTTGCAGATTCCAGGAAAGCAGCCAGGTTTTTGTCGTGATCCGCTTTAGTCATCCCACAAATAGTTATGTTATCTAAATATGGAAAAATCCTCGCAGTTGTTCTTCTTTCACGAGCTGCTTCATTATCCGCTGAAAACAAGAGACCCGGTTTAGTCCGGCAGAATCGGGCCTTATTATCATTGTTTTGGGACATCAATTTTTTTTTATTGTTTAGATATATTGTATATGACATATATAATGATACCCAGGTGGGTGTGGAGTATATAATGTTGAGCAATTTTTTTGTGGTGGATTTAAAGTATTTGGTCCAAGATGACGCACATCCTGAACCCCAACCTGGTAAACATACAATGTTCAGGTTGTGCGCCATCTTGGTACGAATACTTCAGGAGCGCCTTTTTGTTAAAAACAATTATTTCATAACTACATGGTTTAGTTTTGCATACATAGTATCATTGAATCTCCTTACAATGTCAGAAATTCAATTTTAGTAGAATAAATGGTAGTTTATTTCACTAATACAAGCCAAGATCCATCGACAGCATCTAGCCACTTTCTATTGCGCTCTTCAAACTACATTTGCGTTGCCGCGCGCATTTCGTTTTCCCAGTTTAAGCTTAGCGACTTGGGAAATATTTTATTAGTTGAATTGGATTGGAATATTTGACCTCGTTTTTCACTCCAAACTAGGTCATGTAAAACCATCCACTGGTATCTAAAGATGTGTAACGTGTTTTCTTTTGAAGGAACCGCAACCTTTAGTGCTGCATTGACTTTGGCAAAATTAATATATCCTTGTGGAGATAGAAGGTATGCGAATGCGAAACCGAGATGTGCGCCTGTTATGCCAACATAGTTGAGTCAAACGTTTTGAATATACTAGTACATCACACACATTTTTCTGCGTGCTTCGGTTGTACGTAGTAACGCGCACATTTTTTCGCACATGCATCAAATTCCACTTGATTAATGAGCTATAGGTTTTTGACGAGCTTTTGTGTATGATTTCATTCTATAGAATTTGTATGCTGTTCTAAAGAATACTAGTTTCAGCTTTTTCATTCATTCAAACCGCGTGTTGAAAGTAAGTTTTGGTTTCCAACATCCTTAAATCGGTGATGCCAGTAAATCTTTAATACAAAAAGATCAGTAACATCTGCAATAAAAACAGCAGTACCCACTCAAATGACAGCTGGGTGATGGATACTCTTAGTATCTGCTCCATCGCGTGCCTCTTACAGTCTTACCAGTTTACATGAGTGCCAATTGGTATCTACGCTCAGCCAGAGACAAAAAGTTTCGGACTGCAGTTGCCGTGACGAAATGTTTTTAAATATATATTCTACAATAAGATTATTTGATTGCATACTGCCTTATTTATATGTCTTTTCCGGTTCCATTACATTTGAACCCACGTACATTTGAACCCATGACAATTGCACCTGTATGCTATTGCACCTATGGAATTTTTTTTGTTTCACGGATAGTTAAACCCATACTAACCCTAACCCATGGGTTTTAGCACCCGCATATAGATTGAACCCATGGATATACGCATGGGTTCAAATGTACATGGGTTCAAATGTACGGTCACCGTCTTTTCCCATTGCACTATTCCTTTACTGATATTTGATAATATGACGCTCATCTGACATAGTTCTTAAAGTGTGTAGATGGGTATAATCTTTTCCACGCTGTTCAGATGGAAATGCGCGAATATATATAAGAATTGCTAATGTTGGTTTGCAATGCGATGAAATCCCATCTTGGCATTTCTGCCTCTCGCAATTGCTGCGTATACTTATCGGGGAAGTTCTGTGGCGTGGTTATCAAATGAAAAAAAAACATGATAGTATTTTTTCTACTTCTCTACTATACCATCAAACCTTGAACTTTTTTCCATGCAACCTTTTTTCAAAACATCCCCAACAACCACACTTAAATCTGTTATTAAACTTCCGGAACAAACACATAAAATCATCAACAGATGCATATCACCAAGTAGATATTGCTGAATTGATCTTTATTTTACCATTTTTCACGTAATTCTTTTTGGTAAACTTGTTATCTATCGTAAATACAGCACATTTGACAATGTTGTAGTGTGACTTTTTTGGCCTCACATTTTTGATATTTGTAGTTAGAGCTCTTGGGGCTCTGTCAAACAAAGTTACATACAAAATATTGGTTGTAAATTGCAAAACATGGTCATGTTGTTGGAATAACTTGGCATTTTACCACCCGTATATCATTCATTGTTGAGAATATTGATAAAATCATAAAATTTAAAAATCCATTTTTGTGAAATTTTTGTTGTAGCTGAATTCCAGGGACAGCATGACAACAGGCAAGAAAAGCACGGTCGCCTCTTTTAGTTTATGACAGGGTTTCTTAAAAGGGGACCCCGTCCTCCTTGGAGGCCGCTGATCGATTATCTGGGAGCACGAACAAACAGACGGAAATGCGAATATATAATAACAATGTATTTTTATAGAAGAAAAAGTGTAGAGAGTCTTTGGTAGTTTGAAAAGCATTGACATGGAACATAAGAATGAACTACATTCTTTCCCAGGGATATACTATAAAATGTAGCAATTTTCTCATTCTTGTTCTCGTGATATCATCATCTTTCACTGCGTCGTCGTGATCATCCCGCTGCATAACAATTCTCGCCAACAAATATTTGACTGTTCTCCACCGGGTGTATATCCACTTGAACCACTGGCGAATGCATTAGCAGGCTTGTATTGCTAATTGCAATAAAAACGGGTATTTTGAAATAGTACTCTTTACTATACGCGTATGTTTCCATATACTGTATATGGGTCGCGACCCAAGGCTGGGCTCAACAAATACCTAAAAGGTATTGATTTTATTTCCTAGTAAATTTGGTGCTTGCGTAGTTTGTGCACCAAGATTGCGCACAATCTGAACATAGTATTGTAACAGGTTATGGTTCAGGTTGTGCGTCTTTATGATGCACATGTTTGACGAAAAACACTAATACAAATATCTGGAAGTTATTGATTTTATTTCCTAGTAAATTTGGTGCTTGCGCAGTTTGTGCATCAAGATTGCGCACAACCTGAACATAGTATTGTAACAGGTTATGGTGCAGGTTGTGCGTCATTATGATGCACAGGTTTGACGAAAACACTAATACAAATATAGAGTCGTAAAAAAAATTGCTCAAGGCTGCAAACTCCACACCCATGTAGAAATGATGGGCAATCACCCCAAGATGAATAATCGCAAATAAAAAAAACTTTATGTCTGAAATCAAACTTGGGCCAGAAAGGTCCACTTATCTGCCGGACTAGTTTGTGATTCCGAAAGGCAGCCTTGTGAATTGGTATAAATTTCCCTCGGCTTCAAACGCGGTAAACTCTCTATCTTGGTGTTTCAGTGGAACTTGATGATAAGCGCTAGTGAGATCAACAGTACTGAAAACTCGATATTGTGCGATTTCATTCACTAACTCTGAAATGTTTGGCAATGGAAAAGCGTCCAATAAAGTGAACTTGTTAATAGTTTGCGAGTAATCAATTGCCAAACGTTTCTTTTCGATTTTCTGCTTCAACCACAACGACTTGAGCTCTCCATGGCGAAAGGCATGTTTCGATACTTCCTTCTCGCTGAAGTCTTGCTACTTCGTCTCGAATGAATAACCTATCTTCGTGTGAATATCTTCTCGATTTAGTGGCGATTGGATGACAGTCCGCAGTTAAATGCTTGAATGGTTCAGGTGGAGTTATTTTCAATGATGAGAAACCACAAATTGATAATTCAGGTTTTTTACCACCGTAGTGAAAGCTTACACTTTTATGCAGGGTTTGGAAATTAATTCCGAGGATCATATCAGATCATAAGCTGTCGACTACACCAAACTTAACTCCGCAATATTTATGATTATTATAGTATAAATCCATTTCAGTACATCCGAGAACTTCTACTGAACATTTAGACGATGCCATGGAAATGACATTCTTTGTCGGACGAACGTTGAGCCTAAGAGATTTCACCAGCCTTGGGTGAATATAATTTTCGGAACTACCACTGTCGAACAAAGCTCGTACTTTTCGTCGACTGACTTCTACCAAGGCTGTGGCTTGTCGTAATGTAGACGGAACGTATCCAACATGAGTATAAGGTTTGTCATGAATAGTAGAGCCAATGTTGAATGTGGTATCATTGCTGAAATGTCAAGGCGACTGCTGGAGTCATTGTTCGAAATAGTTCTTCCGCGACAGACCTTTGCAAAATGTCCTTTCTTTTGACACTTCCCGAGCTGGACATTTCGATCGTGGGTGTCTACTATTACCACAGAAAAAGCATTTACTTCTAATAGTCATCGCTGCATTATCTGGCAACGATCCAACATCGAAATTGTTAGATTGTATTGTTGAAGGTGCTGCTCCGACGGAAGTGTTTTCGTTTTTAGCATAAGATTATGAATTTCGAACGGCAGTTTCCAATGATTTGGCTTGATCAACCATTTCGTCCAGTGTCAATTTCTTATTCTCGAGCAGTCGTTGGCGTATCTAACTGGAATTCAAGCCACGTATAAAAGAGTCCAGAATATATTCATTCTGGTATACTTTAGCAGATACATTCTGGTATTCTTTAGCAGATACGTTCTGAAAGTTACAATCTTTGCTCAATTCTGTCAATGCTCTTAAATATTCAGCAACTGACTCAGAAATTTGTTGGGATCGCGTGGCCAACATATGACGTGCATATATTTCATTCTTTGGCTGTACAAAAATCCCTTTCAACGTATCTAAGGCTTCATCATAAGTTGTGATATTCCTAATATATCTATAAGTTCTCGGAGACACATAGTTTGTTAATACTCTCAATTTATCCAGTCCTTCAGTGGGCAAAGCTTCCAAGAAATTTTCGAATGTCTTTTGCCAATGCAGCCATTCGCATTCCGCGTCACGTGTATCAGGATCTGTGTCTAGTTTCTCAGGCTTTAAAACTTTATCCATCGTGGTTGGTTCGTTAAGTTATGTTTAATAAATTGTTATGAAAGATAACAGGATACCAATTCTAGGCTTTATTAAACAAAAGAACACCACTACCACAACTCAACACTGTAAACAATAGAATAACACGCAAACAGTAAAGTATGCAGTACGACAGAGCTAGGGCAATCAAGAGTACATTGTTTGTCTAATAATTACACTGTAAAGAAATACTAACACTACATGTGCCTTCTATGTAAAGCCCTGATTGAAGTTTTGCTTCTATGGCAACAATGGAAAAACGCGCCAGTCATTATGAAAGTTCCAATTTTTTCACAATTTATCGCTGTTTTCTCGTCAAGCAATTCGAAAAATGAAATTCCAAAAACGCTACCTTCCTCAGAGAAATCCTCTTTCGCCGATACTTCCTAACCTGGGCAAGCCTTAGTGATTTTAGTGAACATTATATTAATTTTTAGCTACAGTTTATCACTCATGCAAGAATGTCTAGGAAACGCGCAGCGCTTAAATGAACCTGTAGTTTCGACAAACCGTTTTACTTGATCACGCTTCTCGCTGCCGTTGCAGATCCGCAAGTTTCTGAGGGTGGTAACCGGTTGTTTGAGTGCGGGCCTCAACTATTGGCGCAGATCCTGGGCGCCTACAGGCTTGATACAATAGCTTCGAGAAAGACTGGAGCATAAATTTGAATTTTCGATGTTTCCAAACCTAAAAAATTTTAACGTCGAATTGTGTGAGTAATTTTTGTTGGATTTTACGCCAAAATATATTTTTTTGCGTATATGCTATGAAATTTATTTACGTTGGTTAATTTTCGCGTGGGACCAATTCCTGAAATAGGCAAATCTCCCAGTAGATCGTGACAAATGCAAGCAAAACACTATAGCTAACTAATATCAGTATTCTGAGATCGTTTCACAAGAAATTCATATTTGTGTTTAGAGTGCTTGTTGCAAATGTGTAGAAACTTGAGCCGTGGTTGATTGAAGGGTTTGATTTGTCTGAAAAATGAAAAGAGATTATTCAGGCATAACTGTTTACATTCTTCACAAACACCAATGTTGCAACCTATTTGTTTATGCAACAACTGGAGTCATTTCAATTTTGGAAGAACATTATTTTTATAGTCTTAAAATCTATCAGTTCACTCACGAATGAGTTCATTCACTCTGGTGATGTGCTTTTTCATTTTAGACCTAAAAATTTGAGATTGGTCCACTGGTTTGGGATAAAAGTGATTTTGTCCACAACAAAACTTTCACCCAACACAAGGCTAGCAGCAACAAAAACAAAAACTTAGCAAAACGATCAATATGACCATTTCGTGTTCAAGAACAAAACATATGGACTCGAATGGTTCGAAAAATGAGCAGCGAAAAAAAAACTTATAATTCAAAGGGTTTTGACGATCGGTATCATTTGAGTACGAATGCCTGACGATGGCTTCGGTTAGTCTTTCGGTTGGCTTTTTTAGTAAGGAAGATGTTTTCACAGTGCTCATTAATTTGTAATTATTTAGTTGTGCTTTTTACATGGATCCTAAACTCGGTCGGCTAAAGCGGTCCTTTTGGCAACTTCTTCCATTTTAGTCTTGAAAATTTGAAATTGATTGGTCCACTGGTTGGGGATAAAAATGTTAAATTTTGTCCACAAAAATTCACCCAACTACAAGGCTATAGCATCAGTAACAACAACAATTTAGCAAAACAATCAATATGGCCACTTCATGTACAAAACATTAGAGCAATACCCAAATATATGGACTCGAATGTTGCAAACCAAAAATTGATTTTGAAATTAAAACCAGTGTCGATCAAACTGATAAAAATGAGGCGCGAAAAAAACCTATAATCTGAATGGTTTTGACGATCAGTTTCATTCAAGCATGGATGTCATGATTTTGGACGATGGCTTCAGTTAGTCTTTTTTTGCAAGGAAGATGTTTTCACTGTGCTCATTAATTTGTAATTATTTAGTTGTGATTTTTAACTGGATATTACACTCTGGAGTAAGTCACAAATTGAATTGAAATTTTTTCACACGGCAATAATGCATCGAACGCGGAATCAGCGCAAAGTGCGCAAATTTTAATTGTGATGATGTCATCGCTCACAAAAAAACGAATCCCAGCATAGAGCCCACAAAAAATTTTTGAAATAAATAAAAGTAATACCCTTCTTGCGACATATTTCGATTTTTATTTAAAATGCATGATCCCGATTCACAGATGTCAATATACCTGGATTGGAATGTACGACCTGTTTTAATTTCAACGAGGAAGGCACAAGCCATGGTTAATCGATCAAAAATCTCAACCACCATTCGCTCTTATTTTCATCCAATGAGAAAAACAAATAAGGATCGATACTTCACCGTGTGTTTCATACTCTTCATTACACACAAAATATCCAGGTTGACTCAATATACATTGAAACTTCCAGCGCAACGGGAAATACACACCACCATGAATAAGACCATTTGTTTATACATCTTGGTTTATTCATCACGATGACACATCACTTCGGAGTCCGAACGTACATTTGTAATAGCGATTATTAATTTCATAACGCATATTCTTATAATATTTCAGTTGCTGGTGTTATAATCTCTTTATGTTTATTTGAGTAATGAATTTGGTATGTTCAACTAGTCAGTACTTTGTAAAATCAACGAATCACTCTCAGCCTTTGACAAATGGAAGTACTGCCGAAGAAACGCTTTATGGATTCTGTACCGAGTGGATTGCAGTATTCTGTCTGTTCAGCATGCTGGAGCTTTTGTTTCTGTATCTTATCATGGCAACTTATTTATATGGAGTAAAATTCGAAAAGATCCACACAAAGGGTGGATGTGGGTGCAAACTAAACTCTTCAAAAATGATTTGGAGTCTTTTCATGTCAGTTTTCATCCTTTCGATAATCAAAATAAGTGTGGAAATTACAGAAAATGTTTTCGCATTTACGAATGATAGCGTGTGTAACACCACGAGAGCACTGAAGTCTGTGTTGTCTACGCTATGTGTTTGTCCGATATACTTTATTCTATGGATACGACAGCGGATATTTTATAGTATGCCGGCACTGAGTTCCCTCAGTAACGCAGTAGTCAAGATTGCGAGTTCTGTGTCTATATTCTTGATGGGCCTGAGCGGAGTGTTGCCCAGTATTATATATTTGTCAACAAGGAGATATATGAGCACTGACGTCGGATGCAAAAAATCATACTCCACAATAAATTCGAAAGTACCGGGATATTTGGGATTGGCTCTGTCAATATCTTTTCAGTCACTGCTGGTTGGTTTGTTTCTCTATCCTCTTGTAGTACATAGAAAAACTTCAGCTCAACTAAATACTGATACTTCGCGTCAGCTCATTTTGATGAAACGTGTGTTATTTATGGCAACCATAACAGTGATATATGATATAATGGGAACACCATTTGGGCTAATCGTTTCTGGACGATTGTCCATACTCCCCCATGTATATTATGGATACGGCTTGTTAGTTGGGCAACTTTGTGTCATCGGATCTTTTGCTAACTGGAAACAAAGATTGTTCCCGTTTTGTACCACTTACACAAGAAATAGAAGTCACAATAGTCAGCAATCATCCTCAGTCCGAAGTGCAAAGCAAGCTTCAGAAATTACAACAGTATTTTAATCGGGACTATTGTAATGAAACCAGTTGACTAATTAACAAATACGCTAGCAATAATATTGCAACATTTTGTGATAGTCACAGTCCACAAACCAACTCCCCTAACAGGGTAGGATTCAGCAAGAGGCAAGGGATGAAGCCTCGGGTCCATGACATTTCAATTATGAACTATGATTCATTTTTAACCCGCTTTCAAATTTTATACGCGTATTCCAGAATTTGAACGGTTTGAAAAAATTAAAAATGAATGTTGTTTTATTTTTCATCAAGTCAATTTTACTTGTTCCAAAACTCTGCCATTGTAATTAAAAAAAATTAAATACTTTTCAAATTAAATAGTTTTCACTCTAATAATGCCTTTGTTATTTGGAACTGTATTAATTTATCTACACAATATCAATTCAGTATTGTTTCATTTTTTTAATAATTGAATGGTAAATTTATGCGGCCTGTGTGATGATTTGCTTGGGTGTAGCTTAGCCTTAGATCATAGGTTATCAAAGTGCTCCATACGGAGCCCCAGGTCTCCGTGAGAGAATCCTAGCGGCTTCGCAAACAATCCCTTCAATCATTAAAATTCTGACTTACTGAATATTTTAGTAACAGTCCAATGAAGAAATACCGACATTAATAAAATTTGACAACGGTAGCATCAAAATGTGGCAACAAAACGGCAATTCAACTGTATGTACAAGTTACAATATATATTTCCGTATATCGTTGCCACATACCGACACTTGTCAAATTGACAGCATTAAATATAATTTATCTGTAAAATTTAAATTTATTTCAGCTTGTATTAACCTTATTAAGAAAGATTTAATATTTTAATTTTTATTTCATGCATACAAAAAATGTTTTTTATTATTGTTTTAAATTTATTGTGAGACTCCGTGTATAAAAGTCAACCTCTCCAGGGGCTCCATAACACCAAAAATTTGGGAACCCTTGACTTAGATAAAAACCATTCTTATTTATCTTGTACTATCGTGACGCAATATTACATCAAATTCATACAACTAAGGTATTATATATATTATAGGCATGATGCTACAGAAACAGACAGCAAGGGAGGGCAGGGCGCTCGAGGACAAAACAGGCGGCATTTACAAAAAAAAAATTGGGGAGAAGTGCCTTTTTGTTAACCTAATGATATTTCGTAAAATCTTTTCGAGCTTTAAGTCTCTCAATTTGCAAATACATTTCGAGCTCACGCACTAAGAAATTATGGAAAAAATTGCCTGCGAGCGAAAAGCCAAGATACTGTTAGCTATATTGCTGAAAAGCGGTTTGAAGGAGCAGAAATTTTTTTTCCTTGGCTTAAAATCAATGCTAACTTAAATGTTTCTTGTCTGCTAAAGATTATCAAATCGTATGCTGCCCGCGACAAAACTGAATTATAATTGGCGGTCCAGAATGCATTTTGGCTGTACATGACTGGCCTAGGATCTCTCAACGTCTAAATCTGGCGCTGCCTGATACATAAAAAATCGAACTGGTTCAGTAAATCATTTCGAGAAACGTGTTCTCAAACTAAAACACGCATGATTGTTACACAAATGGTTTATGATGGACAGAATTCTTTTTTTCTCAAAAAGGATGACTGCGAATTTTTGACTATACCATTGTTATTTCGAAAGTATTTAATTGGGTTCTGCAAAAGACCATCTGAAAAGCGAAATAAATATTTTTATTCACTATAGTATACGTTACGTATCTCAAAATAGATGTGTGGTATTCGCCAATCCAACTTGTAAATCTTTTGTTGCAAATAACTGGTGGAGACAGACACTTCCTGTCTTTGAGTTGTTAAAAACCAGACTGAGTGACGAAATATCACTGGTTATTAATTATTATCCCAGTAAGCAAATATAGTGAATAGAAATGGGGCATAGTTGTGGCAAGCAGCCCTACTGAACGGTATACTTGCCTCTCACTGAGTCTATGTATTCGCATATCAAGATTAAATATTGCTCACCGCAAGTGATGATAAGAAGACGAATAATAATAATAAACGTGATGCTGCGCGCATGTTACAAAGCAAATATTTTTACACAATACTCAGTTACCGTTTTTTCTATGATTTATATGTAAAGATCGTCAGTAAATATAACATTATTATCTACATTCTACAATATAACCTTGTCATATACCCGGAACTAGAATCGAATACAATATGCATCTCATATGATGTTTTCTAGGTGTTTGCAATAATATAAATTAAAGATACAGTGAAGCGAAATATGCGAATGTGATTGCGGTTAAGAGGATAGCACAAACAAGTGGTGTCGCCGATTCAACAGAATAAAAGAATGGGTAAAGTAATTTGGTTATAACTGTAACAAAATCCACTCGAAATGGGAAGTTAAAATTAAACTTATTTCATTACCAAATATGCTCTATTCTTCGGTTTCTGCTTCGAAGTTTGATTCTTTTATCGAGAATTATGCGCGGATGAAGGGAATGTTTTTTGCATTATTTTATTTTTCTATGCTTTGAGTAAGCTTTACCAAAATGTTCATCGTTCGCATACGACTCCTCGTAGAGCGGATAAAGCAAATCCGGATCGCATACCCTGTTCTTTAGAGCCTGGATCTCGATCAACCACTAGATAAAAGTTTGGCCAACTTGATGTAGACTGGATTGGCTGATCCTCCTGCCATTTATTATAATTTGAAGAATCACCTGCAAAGTGTTTGATCTGAAATGTAACACAATGTCAATTATCGTGAATATTACCTGAGGTTTTATTTTATGTTATGCGGTAATCGCTTGCGAAAAGTCTCCATAAAGCCAGTTAGGGACGGAGCTAGTGCTATCTGAATGATGGGATTTCATTTTGACTTAGCTTAGGCTCTAACACCTATCAACTGGGTTAAACTGCACGTCGGAAGGGACCGGCACTTGACCGCTTCGCGGTTCCGAGATGTCTACGATGATGTCAAGATGACTTTTTGAACCAATTTCTGTACTATTTCTCACACAATTATTTTACTATAATAGGATTTTACTTGGCAAATCCATTCTTATTGAAAGACGATATGTAATATTTGCAGGTTTGTCCATGGGATATTTTTTTCTGTCCCATTCCCATGCCATAGCAATTATGTCTGTCCTATCACATCCATCCCATGGGATTCCCATTGGAATAAAAATCAATAAAAATTGCTAAATTTAGTTTTAGCGTCTACTAAATCGGACTACATGTACGAATAGACAAGCAAAACAACAAAATTTACGGACTTCGTTAACTTTATATTCATAACTATTATACAAGTGTCCATCAGCTCCTTCACGAAGTATATTGTTAATGTCGAATATATATTGCTCTTTAAAACTAACAAGAGAGATATGCTCAAATATATGGACACGAAAGCCATAACGAAATGTTTTACCATCATTTTCCCAAAAATCGTACGATTTTCGTGTCCCATGGGAAATACAAATGTGTGCTGTCCTATCCCATCCCATGGAAATACCATTCCCATGGACAAGCCTGAATAATTGTATCATGTGGGTTCGGTTGAATAAGAACTAACTTATTTGAATGCAATCTCCATTATATTTCTTCTAGCAATTTTAGGGTGAGATTTCTTAATACAGATATGGAAAAAAATATAAATTCCAACCTTTTCAATAACTGGCCCTTTAATCCAAACTGATGTGGAAATCCAGTCATCTGGTATTTTCGAACGAATATTTTTCATAATGTTGTTGTAAGTATTTTCGTCGGGTATTTGAGCAACGCTTGAATTTTTATCTTGACAAATCGATACCGCTCGAGAATATGGTACTGTTTCCAAGTAAACCACTGTGATGTAGCAACGTCTTTCAACAAGCAAATCACAATCTGTATTATAAGGAAAATAAAACATCATTGTGGAAAAGAGGATGTCATTTACTAGAATTAAAAATAGATTACCTCCTATTTCCATGTCAGAAAAAAATGTTTTTCGATAATTTTCCATTGTCAAGTTCCGTAGCAATTTCATAGTAATGGTTTGAATTTCTGAAAAAGGAAATACATTTAGTTCATTCAATGCTATGTTGACACTCCTAACTTCAGCTCATTTAAACGAGTGAAGCTAACGATATATTTCAGAAGCTGGCGTACGCCATTTTGTGTTTGCAATGGCAAGTTTCAGAATGTTCGTCATCGAATAAATGTGATACGAAATCCGTAGCGGTAACGACTCAGATGTATAACGATTTCCAATTATAACTCAATTTGTTTCTTCCTTCGCCATATTTGATAGAATAATATAACTACTGCGATATGCAAATTATGATTACCTTGTTTAATATTATCCATAACACTTTGTTCCAGATGGTGTTTCACGTCGTAATGTGTAACGTAGACTTGTCTAGTTCCATTTGACAACGAAGTAAAACTCCAATGACAAACAATCACGGTTAGAAAAAACCCAAGAACGACAATGAGTTGGCTGTTTTTATCAGACATTGATTGGGATCAACTTTTGGCCGTATGACAGAGATACTAATGTTATTGATTGGAAGCATGTACTAGTATAAAAGGTTTAAAAAACACATCATTATATGTAAAGAACACGTCTATGGTATATTCCAGGGATGTGCAACAGGTGGCCCACAAGCCATTTAGTGTGGCCAACACTAAAATTTTACCCATCACGCATAAAATCCTAACCCGACAGGTTTATGTTTGAAAAATCGCTAACATGGATAAAAACACGTGTTTTTGCTCTTGTCGCTGCGTTGATTCTTTCGCCATTTTGCCCGGTGCAGTTATTACTGCAAGGCCAAGCGATAGTCAAATCCTTTTCTCTTGCCTTCCCCAACTAATTTTTTGTGTGCCCCAGCTATAGGTCTAAAGTTTGTTTTATGGATCACAGACAAAAAGGTTCCGTACCTACAATAGGGATAACATTCTGATGTCGCTTTCAAACAACATTTGTCGTTCTAATTCTGTATAATTATTTCAAACCAATAAATTGGCAACTTGTTGCATTATTCGTGGAGATTCGCGCGTTGCATATCTATATAAACAATTTATACCCAGTGGTGTGATTTGAAATTCTAATAAGAGGTTCTCGTTTGTATAGTATGCACTAAAAACAGGTTTCCTCATTTGTCATTTCAGATAATATATTCACGTCACTAGGCAAGATACATTAACATGCCTCGTTTTACATAAATCTAATACATGATATAACTTTTCATATGCCAAATATAACGCTAGTTTTCCGGAGTTCGTTACTCGCATGCTGTGCTCGTCTAATCTAACGTCTTAAACCAAAAAACAAGAACGGGTACGATGATTATCACGACATGCCCCGAACGGGTTCTTGCGAACCCCCTGAATTCCACCACTGATTATGCCTACATGTCATGGATAGCTTCATAAACATATACCGAACTGCCTAGTTGAATCAGCACAGACACATTCGTATATAAAGTTTTCATTTCGCCATGCCCGGGGGCGAAAAGAGACAGAAAGCTGAAAAAAAAAGATTAATTTTACCAATGCAATATCAAACGCATATAGGCTACAGCTAATTACCCTTCTAGTAACTTGAGTGTAGTCCTTATTACTGGTTCGTTTGAATATATACTTCAAGTGTTTAAACGGTTGTTACAATATATAACCTCATGCAGATGATAAAAATGCGCAGGTAAAGGCGTGAATACTGACTGAACCGCATAACCTCACACTATAGTTTCGTCTGTATAATGCCAAATACAATGAGCTACAGACGATTTAGTACTAGTGTTGCCACTTCTTGATAGTTTTTTTTTTTTTCGATTAGAATCTTGAATTAAAAATTTTGAATTCGAATATCTGGATCTGTTGGGTTTTTTCTATCTTTTTTATTGCACACGTAGGTTTGCCCAAAGTCACCAAAAAAAGCTAAAATCTAGAAGAGAAAATTTGACAATAAAATATTGACACACAATCATGCTAGAAAGCAGAGACGGCAGAGTTTTTTCAGTGAATGATCCACATATATTCTCCCACTGATACAAAAGATGTAGGTCATAGATATCACCAATACCTGCATTGATGAAAAAGTTGCAATTTATCTGTGGGTCTTACAATACACCAGTATGTATGACTGTGGCATTTCACTTATTGTGATATTGAAGTAAGACCGGCCTTATTACAGCCTTTTTTCTCCAAAATATTAACAATGTTCTACAATAATTTGTGACTTGGGAAAATACGTAAAGGAGAACTTTGTTACATCTGTACTTCATCATATCTGTACTATAGGCTCATTATCGTGGTAGAGTAGCTAGGAGATACTGGGCATATATTTATGCTAGCAGAATAGTGTAGTTAGACCGTAAATATAGACAAAAACCAGTCTAATTGCAACTGAATTACAATAAATGGAAATGCTTACAAAAAAAAAATAAATAAAAATAAACCACGATTAAAATAAATTAATTTCGATAAAAATAGCCGTTCAACTGTCTACGACTACGAAAAAATATTTCCCTAAACGTTAAAGACACGTATATTAAACTGTTATTACCAAACTCAGGCTTTATTATTATCTTGGACTACGTTCTAATTCGTAATTCAGAATGTCCAAATATGTATAGTAGTCGCGACACTGTATTTCGATCGAACATGGTCGTTGGAGCTAAAGTAAGACGACATCGGCATATTATGCTTGGTCTGGTATGAGATCTGGCGCGTGTTAATGTAACACAGTGTACAAGTTTCCATTTCTCAAGTATTATCTACTCCCACCTGTCCGTTATCACACTTGCGGAAACAAGAGAGCAATGCTCAAATATATGGACACGGAAAACAATTCCCCAAAAATCATATGCGGTGACTTACCAATACCTGTAAAAACAAAGCACCACATCACAGCAATCAAACAGACAAAAACACGGTGGTCGCAAACTGGTTGACAAAGATATTATCGACGTATTGGAAATGCGCACCCCCTTTTTCCCCTCCTTCAAATGTAAAAACGCGAAACCTTAAAAGATAGTTAAAAGAAACACAACTCTACTCCCCTGCCAAGTTTCATCTTTTTATCTCTTATATTTGTATGGATTTTCAAGCTTTTGACAGCTACGAATTAGTTCAGTGTCACCGCGCTGTGTTACGTTACCAGAACTTCTCTATCTGGGCTTCTAATTGCATTTCTGACCGTCGTATATTTTAAGAACACGGTTATTTGAACAAAACTCGTCATATTATAAACGAGAATATCGGTCAGAGACCGAAGACTTGACGTGACAATGTAAAAGTAGAAAAAACGCGTTTTTATCATACTACAGCATCGCGCGCTCACAATCATACGTCGTAGCCAGTGTTCCCTCTAAGGTGTGCGCGCGCACACAGCTTTCAGAGGCTGCGCACACGCATAGATTTGCTGCGCACAGACGTATGTCGATGTAATGTAACAGTGTGCTTGGTTGGCAGGTTGAGAAAATTTGTTGTTGGCCCACTTATCACCCGGTTAGAACGCCAAAATTTCTTCATTGGTGTTTGCACAAATATTAGTCCTTTCCAAAAAAGTGCGCACACACCAAAATTTCTGCGCACACATACTACAAAAACATGTGTTATAAACCGCTTGCATCGCGCCGAGAAAAATTTCTATTTATGTAACAGCTGGAAGAAGAAACGCATATGTTCTATCCCTTTATGTTTGCCTTATTTTTGTTCACCGCCCTTTATTGAGTGGATGCACAACAAAAGCGAATAAAATCGATTAAATATATATTTTAGGATAAAAAACACTATTGTCAATTAACATGGCCGACCAATAGACTTATTCAGTAATAGTTCTATTCAAATATACGCGAAATATTTCACTCTGGACGTTTAAATTAGATATCAATTAAAATTGAATATTTTCCAGCGGGTACCTTAATTTAGTCGCAGCGCAGGTGTGCTGTTGAAAATTTTCATCAAAATTGTCACGAAATTTCGGGTATACGGTCATTTAAATTCGCGTATAATAGAAGCTAGGGCCATTTAGTGGAATACTGAACTGTCGGTTTGGGGGAAATTACGCCACACAGCATCTCGAGTGATGCGTAAAGGAGTGCCGAGAGCTGCACTTGAAATAAATAAATGGAGGCAGATCAGTAAAGGTCAAACACGAAAAATTCATTTCCGTTTCGTAATTTGGTGTTAATTGGAGTGCGCATGGACGCATTTGGCAGATTTAACGCCACCGATAACAACGATGAACAAACGTTCGATGTTTGTTTTTCTTCGGTAAATCGCTATTATTTCCGAATCGCGTAGATTCGGAAAAGATGCGATTCGAATCATCCCTATTTAGGCATCCCTATTTAGGACCGAATCCCCACTGGTGATATACTAACGTACTGCTGAAGCGGATTAGATTGAGTACATACCGGTATTTGGGAACATCTACCCCCAATGTAGCCTACTGTACAAAGAGCTCATCAATCCAAAAGTAATAATCTTGATCCTGAATGGCAATTCTGTTGTTTTCAGCCGCGTATTTTTTGCTGGGGAATTTAAGTTACCGAAAAACGTTTCGTAGTGCAGTAAGGCAATTGTCTTCCGCTGTTAAATTGGGTGTTTCACATCGGGGCCGTACGTGGTAGCCTCTTTGTCGACGAGAAGACCACTTTTTATGTCGTCATCCGCAGCAAAATCGTTCTTAATAATTGCATAAAATTTCAAGCTTGAATGTAGTTTGCAATCTCCGTTGCACGCTACCATGTAGTTTCGGTTTACTGGTAAATATGACGATTATTCGCTACAAAACTTATGCTATTAATTATTAATGTTAGAGTTAATGTTAAACTGTAAATGGTCGAACCGCAAGCGTGTCTGGTAACCAGTAAAATCAGTAACCAGTAAGTTTTCATTCAAATACGAACGAGAGCCAATTATACCTAAGTTAATTTTCTTCAAATTTAATTTTTGTTGGACCTGTTATTATTTTGTAATATATTGTCTTACGTGGCAAAGCGTTGCCTTATGTTACGCAAGTACAAGATATTATTTTTTGTCCATGAAGTCACAAAATCAATTCACTGAAATTCTTGCACACCATATATACTTTTCATTTTTGTATAACCTTCGTTTCATTATTTTTATCTCGCATCTTGATATTTGCAATAGCTGGAAAAATAAAGTTCTATGTTGTCTATATCTTATCACTGCTTTAAATTCGTCATATTCCCTAAAATTAAACTGTATTTATGGTGCACGACATGTTATATCATATGATGCCCACGACAAAACTGTTGGTCCAGAATGCATTTGGGTTGGACATGGCTGGCCCAAGATCTCTCAACGTCTAAATCTGGCGGTGCCTGATATATATATAATGCAACTGTTCAGGAATAGAAAAGACACATTCTTCCATGATGATGTAAACGCTTAAATTCATTCATCTAACTGCAGATATACGCTGACTTTGAACATTTTTACCTTGACATTAACAATATTATGGACTATATGCGATTCCAAAAAAATCATATATATATGAAATTAGCGCGAGTTGGACTTCCATCCTTATTCGTAAATACGGATGAA